AGATCTGTTGTTGCTGCTGGGGTGGTATTTTGTTGTGAGGGTCCATTGTTGCTGGGGGAATCTACTGTTGCTGGGGTGGGGCTATTGTTACTGGCTGCAAGGGATCGATTTTACTGCTTTCCTTGCTATCATTAACAAATTCCGTAAAAATTGATACTTGTATCAATTCTCTAAAATTCTCTAAAAGGAGCAGTACGGGGAGGTGGATAGGGGTAGGAACCAAGGGATGGTGCTCAGAGATGTGTGCTGGGGGGTGGGGGGGGCAGTTACAAGGGGTGACTCAGAATAGGGGAGTTCTTGCACCTGTTTCTTGAGAAATAAAGCCCTGCTTGTGCGGGTGTTTTGACCTATTTACAAAGCTGAAACACACATGGATCTCTATAGAGCTTCAGCAGACTGGAAGTGAGGCAAGGGAAAACAAGCACCTCGTAGGTCTTGCTATGCAGCGTGGATTATTTTCTCTCCCCCCCCCCCCCCGCAGGTTCATGGGTTCCTGCTTCAACCAGCTTTTGCATTTAGTGGGTGTAGGAAGCAGTTAGATGATAATTTGACCATTTAGCCCGGGTTCACACTGATTAGGTGCGGAATTGGCAGCGTTTTCAGTGCGAATTGCAGAATCGCACACTCTTAATGCGAACCGATGTGGGTGTGTATGTTAACAACACCCCCGAAATCAGTCCGCAAAACGAGGTGCGATGTGCAGAATCGGATCGCATAGGTGTGAATACCCGTGCGATCCGATTCTAGTGCGGAACCAAAAAAGGGTCCTGCACCTTTCTGGTGCGATTTCAGCCATACATAATGTATGGCTGCGATCGCACCACACACAAATCACATGTGATTTGCACAGGAATGCGGTGCGGTTCCTGTGCGAATCACATGCGATGTACCGAGCTGCATATATGTGAACCCGGGCTTAATGTATTTTTACAATCAGAATTTGCAAGTGCCTGAACATTTCCTGATATCAAACCTCCTGTCATCCCCTGCACCACTTCTACTGTTTAGCAGAGCTGTCATTCTAACACAATGAGCATGCTTACTGGAAGGAAGGAGGGAAGGGGGGGGGGGCACAGGGATCACTTTGCCTGTATGCTGGGGCTCCTTTATTGTCCAATCACAAGCTCAGGTGGTTCCTGGACTAGCTGCCTCACTAACTACAGCATGGTCTGCATTGGACTTCTAGAACTTGGTTGTGTTGTCTGGTAGAGGTGTCTGGCTGGAATAGTTGGCTGAATGAAATTACAAATCCTCTGGCAGGTAACACGGCCCGCATACATGTATTTGAATTGAGTGAATAACCTTGGCCTCTCTAGACTTACTATGCCTACCTCAACAGTCATAAAAGGTAGACTGCAGTAAAAGTTGAACACTGAACCTTGACAAGTATATATAAACTCTGTCTACCCATTATTTACCTTTACATCCAGACATTGCTTTTCAACAATCCACCCCACATCCATTTTCCCTTTTTAAAATGGAGATCTTGGAACACATCTACTGGTGATCCTGGAATACACCTGCTATAGATGCTGGAACACAGATGCTAATGGACGTGCCTGCTGGCGATTCTGGAACACACCTATTGAAGATGCTGGAACACACTTGCTGGCAATCCTGGAATGCACCTGCTAATGATGCTGGAACACACCTGTGAATGATACTGGAACACGCCTGTGAATGATACTGGAACACACCTGCTGGTGATCCTGCAACATACCTGTTGCAGATGTTGGAACACACACACTACTGATGCCAGAGCACACCTTCCTGTAATGCTGGAATAAACATGCTAATGATCCTTGAACACACCTACTAAGGATGCTAGAATACACTAGCTGGTGTTCCTGGAACACACCTACTAGTGATGCAAGTGCACACCTTCTGGTGATGCTGGAATACACATGCTAAAGATCCTGGAACACACCTACTAATGATACTGGAAAACATGCTAATGATGTCAGAACGCAACTGCTGTTGATCCTGGAACACACCTACTAATGATCCTGGAACACACCTGCTGATAATCCTGCAATACACCTGTTACAGATGCTGGAACACACATACCAGTAAAGCCAGAATGTACCTGCTGGTGATTCTGGAACACATATGCTAATGATGCTGGAACACACCTGCTGGTGATCCTGGAACACACATGCTAATGATGCTGGAACAAATCTGCAGGTGATCCTGCAGCATACCTCTTATAGATGTTGGAACACACCTACTGGTGATGCTGGAACACACCTACTGGCAATCCTTCAACATACCTGTTGCAGATGTTGGAACACACATACTAACGATGCCAGAGTACACCTTCTGGTGATGTTGGAATACACATTCTAATGATCTTGGAACACGCCTATAATTATGCCAAAATACACCTGCTGGTGATCCTGGAATATACCTGTTGGTGATCCTGCTATACACCTGTTACAGATTCTGGAGCACACTTGCCAGTAATGTGAGAACACACCTGCTTGGTGATCCTGAAACACATATGCTAATGATGCTGGAACGCATCTTCAGGTGATCCTGCAACATACCTGTTATAGATGTTAGAACACACATGCTAATGAGCCTGAAACACACCTATTAATGATCCTGGAACACACCTACTGGTGATGCTGGAACATGTGATAATGATGTCAGAACACAACTGCTGGTGATCCTGGAACACACCTGCTGATGATCCTGCAATACACCTGTTACATATTCTGGAACACACATACCAATAATGCCAGAATTCACCTGCTATTGATCCTGGAACACATATGCTAATGATGCTGGAACACACCAGTTGTTGATACTGGAACACACCTGCTGGTGATCCTGGAACACACATGCCAATGATGCTGGAATGAATCTGCAGGTAATCCTGCAACATACCTGTTGCAGATGTTGGAACACACATACTAATGATGCCAGAGTACACCTAGTGGTGTTGGAATACACATTCTAATGATCCTGGAACACACCTACTAATTATGCTAGAATACACCTGCTCGCGATCCTGGAACACAACTACTAAGGATGCGGAAACACACATGCTAATGAGGTCGGAACACAACTGCTGGTGAACCTGGAAGACACCTACTAATGAGCCTGGAGCACACCTGCTGATGAGCCTGCAATGCACCTGCAATAGATGCTGGAACACACATACCAGGAATTCCAGAGAACACCTACTGGTGATCATGGAACACACCTGCTGGTGATCCTGGAACACACCTGCTGGTGATCCTGGAACACACATGCTAATGGAGCTGGAACAGATCTGCAGGTGATTCTGCAATATACCTGTTATAAATGTTGGAACACGCATGCTAATGATCCTGGAACACACCTACTAATGATGCTGGGACACACCTACTGGTGATCCTGGAACACACCTACTGGTGATGCTGGAACACACCTACTGGTGATCCTGCAACATACCTGTTGCAGATGTTGTAACACACCTACTAATGATGCCAGAGTACACCTTCTGGTGAAGTTGGAATACACATGCTGATGATCCTGGAACATATCTACTAATTATGCTAGAATACACACGTTAAAGATCCTGGAACACAACTACTAATGATGCTGAAACATACATGTTAATGAAGTTGGAACACAACTGCTGGTGATCCTGGAACACACCTACTAATGAGCCTGGAACACACCTGCTGGTGATCCTGGAACACACATGGTAATGAAGCTGGAACACATCTGCAGGTGATCCTGCAATATACCTGTTATAAATGTTGGAACACACATGCTAACGATCCTGAAACACACCTACTAATGATGCTGGAACACATCTACTGGTGATCCTGAAACACACCTACTGTTTATCCTGCAGCACATCTACTGGTGATCCTGGAACACAGTTACTGGTGATGCTGGAACAAAACTACTGGTGATACTGCAACATACCTGTTGCAGATGTTGGAACACACCTACTAATGATGCCACCTTCTGGTGATGTTGGAATACACCTGGTGATCCTGGAAAACACGTACTGGTGATGCTGGAACACACCTACTGGTGATCCTGCAACATACCTGTTGCAGATGTTGAAACACACCTACTAATAATGCCAGAGTATGCTTTCTGGCGATGTTGGAATACACATGCTAATGATCCTGGAACATACCTACTAATTATGCTAGAATACACATGCTAAAGATCCTGTAACATACCTACTAATTATGCTAGAATACACATGCTAAAGATCCTGGAACATACCTACTAATTATGCTAGAATACGCACACTAAAGATCCTGGAACACAACTACTAATGATGCTGAAACATACATGTTAATGAAGTTGGAACACAACTGCTGGTGATCCTGAAACACACCTACTAATGAGCCTGGAACACACCTGCTGGTGATCGTGAAGCACACATGCTGGTGATCCTGGAGCACACATGCTAATGAAGCTGGAACACATATGCAGGTGATCCTGCAACATACCTGTTAGAAATCTTGGAGCACACATGCTAACGATTCTGAAACACACCTATCAATGATGCTGGAACTCACCTACTTGTGATCCTGGAACACACCTACTAATGATGCTGGGGGGAATTTCCTAAATTTACAGGGATTTCCTCCAGCTTCCTGTGGCTATGGGACAGAAGGTGAAGGGAAATCTCCCAAATGGGACACAGATGACAAAAAAAAAAAGACACCGATGGGGTCATAACCCTCCTTTTCTCAATCCAAAATGAAAGACGTTTTGCCTTTAGTGTGCTGCCAGTAATACGGAGTCCTGTCAGAGCTTACTGAGCTTCATAGATGGCAAATTGTTGGTGCCGCTCAGCTGGTGCCTCTGTGACTGAAGTTGCCAATTTACTTGCCGAGTGGCGAGGTTCAGGATCGAAGATTATGACGGTGTATACAGTTTCCGGGAAAACGTCGTCTGATAGGCATAAACACGGTCCACATGGCCAACTGACTGTAAGACAGAAGGGCATTGTGCAGGATTGCGACCCGGAATATGGAAACAACCAAAGTGACTGCAGAGCTCAATCATACAAGTCTTCCTCAGTCTTCCAAAGTCACAAAAACTGTGCGGAGAACTTCATAAGCAAAAAATATATGCACCTGCTAATGATGCTGGAACACACCTATTGGAGATGCTGGAACACACTTGCTGGCAATCCTGGAATGCACCTGCTAATGATGCTGGAACGCCCCTGTGAATGATACTGGAACACGCCTGTGAATGATACTGGAACACACCTGTGAATGATACTGGAACACACCTGTGAATGATACTGGAACACACCTGTGAATGATACTGGAACACGCCTGCTGGTGCTGCTGCAACATACCTGTTGCAGATGTTGGAACACACATACTACTGATGCCAGAGCACACCTTCTGGTAATGCTGGAATGCACATGCTGATGATCCTGGAACACACCTACTAAGGATGCTAGAATACACCAGCTGGTGTTCCTGGAACACACCTACTAGTGATGCCAGAGCACACCTTCTGGTGATGCTAGAATACACATGCTAAAGATCCTGGAACACACCTACTAATGATACTGGAAAACATGCTAATGATGTCGCAACGCAACTACTGGTGATCCTGGAACACACCTACTAATGATACTGGAAAACATGCTAATGATGTCGGAACGCAATTACTAATGATCCTGGAACACACCTGCTGATAATCCTGCAATACACCTGTTACAGATGCTGGAACACACATACCAGTAATGTCAGAACGCACATGCTGGTGAACCTGGAACACATATGCTAATGATGCTGGAATACACCAGCTGTTGATCCTGGAACACACCAGCTGTTGATCCTGGAACACACCTTCTGATAGGCATAAACATGGTCCACATGGCCAACTGACCGAAAGAGACAGAAGGGCATTGAGCAAGATTGCGACCCGGAATATGGAAACAACCAAAGTGACTGCAGAGCTCAATCCACCAAGTCTTCCTCAGTCTTCCAAAGTCACAAAAACTGTGCGGAGAACTTCATAAGCAAAAAATATATGCACCTGCTAATGATGCTGGAACACACCTATTGGAGATGCTGGAGCACACTTGCTGGCAATCCTGGAATGCACCTGCTAATGATGCTGGAACGCCCCTGTGAATGATACTGGAACACGCCTGTGAATGATACTGGAACATGCATGTGCATGATACTGGAACACACCTGTGAATGATACTGGAACACACCTGTGAATGATACTGGAACACGCCTGCTGGTGCTGCTGCAACATACCTGTTGCAGATGTCGGAACACACATACTACTGATGCCAGAGCACACCTTTTGGTAATGCTGGAATACACATGCTGATGATCCTGGAACACACCTACTAAGGATGCTAGAATACACCAGCTGGTGTTCCTGGAACACACCTACTAGTGATGCCAGAGCACACCTTCTGGTGATGCTGGAATACACATGCTAAAGATCCTGGAACACACCTACTAATGATACTGGAAAACATGCTAATGATGTCAGAATGCAACTACTAATGACCCTGGAACACACCTGCTGATAATCCTGCAATACACATGTTACAGATGCTGGAACACACATACCAGTAATGATCCTGGAACACATATGCTAATGATGCTGGAACACACTAGCTGTTGATCCTGGAACACACCAGCTGTTGATCCTGGAACACACTAGCTGTTGATCCTGGAACACACAAGCTGTTGATCCTGGAACACACTAGCTGTTGATCCTGGAACACACTAGCTGTTGATCTTGGAACACACTAGCTGTTGATCCTGGAACACACAAGCTGTTGATCCTGGAACACACCAGCTGTTGATCCTGGAACACACCTGCTGATGGGCATAAACACGGTCCACATGGCCAAATGACCAAAAGAGACAGAAGGGCATTGCGCAGAATTGCGACCCGGAATATGGAAACAACCAAAGTGACTGCAGAGCTCAATCCACCAAGTCTTCCAAAGCCACAAAAACTGTGTGGAGAACTTCATAAACCAAAAATATACAATAGCCAAACCCAGGGGCGGACTGACAACTCATGGGGCCCCCGGGCAATAGGGGATCATGTGGCCCGTGTCCTTGCCCACACTCCAAAAAGCCTATAAAAAAGGTATCAGGGGCATCTCATGGGGCCCCCTACTGACCCCGGGCCCTCGGGCAGTGCCCGAGTGCTCGAATGGTCAATCCGCCCCTGGCCAAACCACTAGTGACCATTATTAATGCTCAGGAGAGGAGAGAGGGGTGCAACACCCATAAATGGTGGACGATCGATCAATGGAAGATTCTAATACGGTCCAATGAATCGAGCTTCACACTGTTCCCAACCACGGACGTGTTTACGTGTGGCCAACAACGTCCCATGGTTACCACCAGGAGTGTCTTGTGCCGACGGTAAGGCATAGTGGTGCAATTGTGGTTTGGGCAGCCATATCTCGATGTTCTGCAGGCCCCATCATCACCTTGAAAGGTTGAGTCACCGCCAGCGACTATGTACAGTACAAATCTTGGCCGACCACGTGCCCCCCATGGTGCAGACATTGTTTCCCGAAGACAGCGCCATTTACCAAGATGATACCGTTCCGATTCACACAGCTGGTGTCAAATCGTAGTTTGATGAGCATGCATGTCGCACCTTCCCGGGGCGCCACAGTCGCCAAATCCTAGAGACAGTTTTTGAAATACTCAGACCAGCCCGTCTGGCACCAACAACCATGCCACGTTCAAAGTCACTTCAATCCCCTTTCTTCCCCATTCTGATGCTCGGTTTGAAGCTTCTTCACCACAGCCTAAATGCATTGAGATGATGCCACATCTGGATGCCTAAATGCACTTATTTGCTGCCACGTCTAGATGCCTAAATGAATTGGGTTGATGCCATGTCTAGTTGCCTAAATGCATTGAATTGGTGCCACATCTAGATGCCTAAATGCATTGAACTGGTGCCACGTCTAGTTGCCTAAATGCATTGAATTGGTGCTACATCTGGATGCCTAAATGCACTTAGTTGCTGCCACGTCTAGATGCCTAACTGCATTGAGTTTCTGCCACGTCTAGATGCCTAAATGCATTGGGTTGCTTCCACGTCTAGTTGCCTAAATGCATTGAATTGGTGCCACGTCTAGATGCCTAAATGCATTGAGATGGTGCCACGTCTAGACGACTATACAGTTGTGACCAAAATTATTCAACCCCCAATGCTGTAAAGGGGTTTAGGGACTATAGTGTACATTTGGAATTGTATTCAGAATCAAATCCTACAAGGACGTTGTAACTACCCAAATGCAACTAAAATGACATCAATTGTTTATGTAATACAGTAGTAAATGGTTCTTATGTGGTTTCTTCATTGCCACAATTATTCAACCCCTTAAAGACTACCACTCTGAAGAACAGAGGTTCATACAGGTGCTTTCCATCAGGTATTGAAAACACCTGTGGATGTCACCGAGCAGCAATCAAGCATAATAAGCACCAATTAGGCAGCTTTAAAATGACTGTGATACTCAGCTCCTTCTAGACATTTACTGGTGTGGTTACAAACATGGTGAAGGCAAGAGAATGGTCCAGGAAGACAAGAGAAGAGGTGATTTCTCTTCACAGGAAGGGCAATGGCTATAAGAAGATTGCAAAGATGTTAAACATACCAAGAGACACCTTAGGAAGCATCATTCGCAAATTCAAGGCAAAGGGCACTGTTGAAACGCTACCTGGTCGTGGCAGAAAGAAGATGCTGACTTCGACTGCTGTGCGCTACCTGAAGCGTAGAGTGGAGAGAAGTCCCCGTGTGACTGCTGAGGAACTGAGAAAAGATTTGTCAGATGTGGGTACAGAAGTTTCAGCCCAGACAATAAGACGCACACTGCGTAATGAAGGCCTCCGTGCCAGAACTCCCAGGCGTACCCCCTGCTGTCTCCAAAGAATAAGAAGAGTCGACTGCAGTATGCCAAAAGCCATGTGGACAAACCACAAAAGTTGTGGGATAGTGTTCTGTGGACTGATGAAACAAAATTAGAACTGTTTGGGCCCATGGATCAACGCTATGTTTGGAGGAGGAAGAACAAGGCCTATGATGAAAAGAACACCTTGCCTACTGTGAAGCATGGTGGAGGGTCAATCATGCTTTGGGGCTGTTTTGCTTCTGCAGGTACAGGGAAGCTTCAGCGTGTGCAAGGTACCATGAATTCTCTTCAGTACCAGGAGATATTGGATGGAAACGTGATGCAGTCCGTCACACACCTGAGGCTTGGGAGACGTTGGACCTTTCAACAGGACAATGATCCCAAGCATACCTCCAAGTCCACTAGAGCATGGTTGCAGAGGAAAGGCTGGAACATTTTGGAGTGGCCATCGCAGTCACCAGACTTAAATCCGATTGAGAACCTCTGGTGGGACTTAAAGAAAGCAGTTGCAGTGCGCAAGCCTAAGAATGTGACTGAACTGGAGGCCTTTGCCCATGAAGAATGGGCGAAGATACCCGTAGATCGCTGCAAGACACTTGTGTCAAGCTATGCTTCACGTTTAAAAGCTGTTATAACTGTAAAAGGATGCTGTACTAAGTACTAAGATTGAATGTCACTTGGGGGTTGAATAAAACTGATAATGCTGTGAGCACAGAAAAGACATTTGTGGTTATTTCATTATAACTGTTATGTTATATTTGTCTGACCTACAAGTGCCTCTTTAATGTAAATGTAAGCAAGATGACTGAATGATCAAAAGCAATGTCAAACTGGCCAAAACACTCAATTTCAGTGGGGGTTGAATAATTTTGGTCACAACTGTATGCATTGAGATGCTGCCACGTCTAGATGCCTAAATGCATTGAGATGGTGCCACGTCTAGTTGCCTAAATGCATTGAATTGGTGCCACGTCTAGATGCCTAAATGCATTGAGATGCTGCCACGTCTAGTTGACTAAATGCATTGAGTTGCTGCCACGTCTAGTTGCCTAAATGCATTGAGTTGCTGCCACATCTGGATGCCTAAATGCACTTAGTTGCTGCCATGTCTAGAT